GAGAGAGAGAGAGAGAGAGAGAGAGAGAGAGAGAGAGAGAGAGAGAGGCAGTCATCAGATGTCATGCGACAGCTGGCTGAGAGCTGCTCCGCTGGTGCCGTCATTAATCAGACACACACACACACACACACTGCCAGCCTCTGTGTGTGTGTGTGTGTGTGTCTGATTTGCGACAATAAACTCACATCGTGACATGATGTATGTCCTAACATGCACTTCTCGATGCAATATTTTTCCGTTGTGCTAATATGTTTGCATGTAAAGTTAGCAGTTAGCACTTTAGCATGTGTGATGAGGAAGCAACAGTTTTACTTGGTGCTCAGACAGAAAGAAAAAGAGAATTTTTTGCCAACTTTTGACATGCAGGGTAGAGACGCCGTATACGTAGAGACCTGTCAATCACTGTGTAGCCCCGCCCTAAAGCATCCCCTGCTTTATGGTCTGTTTGACTCTAAATGGACCATAATGTACTAAATGAACATCATGCTGTATTGAAGAAGACTTGAAACTAGAGATTGAGACCATAAACTCATGTTTACAATGTTTACTGAGGTAATAAATCAAGAGAGAAGTAGAGTCATTTTCTCATAGACTTCTATACAACCAGAGGAGTCGCCCCCTGGTGGACACTAGAGAGAATGCAAGAAAGAAGAGGTTTCCACCTGGTTGTACTACACTGCCAGAAATATTAAAGACGAAACTCCTGTAAGCATCAGCTTCACTTTCTAGACGATAGCATGCTAACATGTGAAGGACGGAGCTATACAGGTTGATTTACGTCTACTTACATGAATACATTTGTATATTTTTTTCCATCATTGGGGAGGAAACTGAAGTAGAATGTGAGACTGTACTTTCAGACTGGAACCTAAAAACCCACTGAGTGTGTTTGTTCAGCCCCACAAACCTCAAGAATCCAACGTGAACTCATGAACGAAGCCAAACTATTTCCCTTTGAGGCACTAAGCCTCGTCCTCACTCACTCATGAACGCCTCTAACTTATGCGATTCAATAAAAGAGACAAAAAACAAATACCGACGTTAGTCACAAACGGAAAAAGTTCAGTTTCAATAACCGCCGGCCTCATGTTACACCTAAAACAAACACGGTTAGATATGTTTCCTTCACATCATGCTCTCCTCCTCTGCTGCTGATGCATTCCTTTGGTCACAGCCGAGTTATTAATCTGACTCGCGGTGCAGAGGACGCAGATAAAGCCGGCTGAATCCCAAGAGAAAACCCCTCAGGTGTGTTGTTGCTGGGCTTTGCCGCGGGGGCTTTCGTGACCCCCGGATGCCTGAGTGATTACCAAGGCTGGAGAGTCTTGAGTCTGACCTCACACCCACCTCTGGGGTCAGGAGGTCGGGGACAGGCTGCTGGGTCGGGGGATAACACCCTCAGCGCCATCTAATCAAATCTGGGCTGTTCTGGGACACAACAGCAGCCAGTCAGAATGCACTCTGACCGTTGGATATCTCCTAGAAGGGCTGCAAGTCGTTTCTTGCAAAAATCTCCCAAATAAAATGACAAAATAAGTTTAGTTTTATTCCAACAACACGGACAGCAGCTCAAACAGATGTGACTCGTGTAACTCTGCTGGCATCATGTTCGGTGTGTGCGCTCTGGCTTCCTAAACACACACACACACACACACACAC